TTTTCCCGGGAAAAGGACCCCCCCCCCCCCCCCCGGGAAATGAGAACCTCTGTGGTTATCGTTTTCCCGTCAGCCTCCCAACCAAATCCTTTTAACGTGGCCGTCAGTGTCGTGCTTCGGCATACTGGATACATTTTGGAGTTTAATTTATGCGTTGGCTTTTTGTGGTAGGCTGTTTAGAAGATATAGATAGGATTAATGAGAAACCACGCCCACAACTGAGGCACATGACCTAGAGATGATGGAAAGATTAAAAAAAAATTTTTTTTGCAGTGTAGGCTTATTTGATTTTAGCGGTTCTTAAAATTTGACGATGGAAAAAGGGATGTTATTTAATAAAGCAAATGACGTCAGAGTCACTTGGGGTCCAAGAGTATGTTAAATTGTATCAGACTATAACACGGGGAAGTTAATTATATTAGATGGTTATCCTGGACAAAAATAAATATATATATATATATATATTGTATTTTTGGGCATTGGTTGAATTTACTTTAAGGATAAGAAATTAACTTAAAACTTAATTGACAATAAATTATTACTTTAAAATACGTTTGCACCATGGCTCTTAGATATCCAGAACCTTTTCCTAAACGGAAAATACTGGTAGAATGTTGAGCTCCAGAAATCGATCATGTAAATCTAGGAAAGGTAAACCTAAAAAAAAAGACAAAAAAAGACAAGAGTTATCCTTTATCTAAGGTTGCATTACTTTCTAATTAACAGAAATAATAATTATAAAATAATAAGTAACTTTGTAAAAACTCGCTTTTATTTCAAACGAACTAACAATTAAAAGATAATATTTTGAGACACACCAGAATTTTATTGCAATTAATCATGTCTACAAAAATGAAAACGTGGGAGATTCGACCCAGACAAACACACAGACACAAATGAAAGCGTGAGAGATTCGGCCCAGTCAAACACACAACCAGACACAAATGAAAGCGTGAGAGATTCGGCCCAGTCAAACACACAACCAGACACAAATGAAAGCGTGGGAGATTCGACCCAGAGAAACACACAAATAAGACACAAATGAAAGCGTGGGAGATTCGGCCCAGACAAACACACAACCAGACACAAATGAAAGCGTGGGAGATTCTACCCAGACAAACACACAACCAGACACAAATGAAAGCGTGGGAGATTCTACCCTGACAAACACACAGCCACAAATGAAAGCGTGGGAGATTCGACCCAGACAAACATACAACCAGACACAAGTGAAAGCGTGGGAGATTCGACCCAGACAAACACACAGACAGACACAAATGAAAGTGTATAATAAAACGAATAATATGGCGGTTTCAGAATCTAAATGTATAATCATATTCTGTCATCTTCAAGCGATCAATTAATCACGTTATACAGTCTGCAGATGATCATTTAATCCGATGGACTTTCTATAAAAGCGATTAGTGTTTAGCCTACTGTCTCCCCCTGGCTTGTCATTTTATACACTTGTACAGGAGACTAATTTATGGATTTCTATACTGTTTGGCTGTTTAAGAGTCAATGACTTTTATAAATCTGCCCCTGAGCACTGGCCGTACTCATTCCACACCACTCTATGAATTAGGATCTCCCCTCCCCTTCTCTCTCTCTCTCTCTCTCTCTCTCTCTCTCTCTCTCTCTCTCTATTTATATATATATCTATATATATATATATATATATATATATATATATATATATATATATATATTTATATATATATATAAACCTTATAGCCAATGTATTCAAAAAGTTCTGTTTACCGAAGCCATGAGCATTTTTAAAAATCCTCCTTTTCAGTACAACTCACTCTTTACCAAATTCGTTCACCTTTGTATGATTAAAAAAAAAAAATCAAAAGCATCCTTAAATACCATTGCTGTACGTGCATACGACAAGGCTGATCCTCCAATCAGCACCATGGTGTGACTTTTTCAACGCTAACAATTTGGGGAAATTTATCACAGGAATGAAAATCTTCCCGCATGCAGGAGTTGGACTAGAGCAGTGGTTCTTAACCTGGGTTCGATCGAACCCCAGGGGTTCGGTGAGTCAGTCTCAGGGGTTCGGCCGAGGTCCAACAAAAACAAATCCGAAAAAAATCATATTTTATTTTTCCTATTAAGAAGGGTTCGGTGAATGCGCATATGAAACTGGTGGGGTTCAGTACCTCCAAAAAGGTTAAGACCCACTGGACTAGAGAGTTATTATTTCATGACACTTACAACAAAAACGTAACTGTGTCTAACTCCTACACAATAATCTGCCACTGACTGCTGGCGAATCCATTGTTGTTGTTGTTTTTCAACTAAATATCTACTTTACACTTGTTTCCAGCTATCTATCTACTTTACATTTCTTCTTATGTCAAGTTAGCATTTATTTAATGTGTTCTAACAGTTTTCAGTGACCAGGCTGTCATTCATTTTTAATCACTACCCCACCCTCCCCCAACCATCTTTTCTCTCCCCGGTAGGCGTCAATAATTTAATGGTTTAATCAGATGTTCATTGTTACAGCGTTACGATAGAAGATAAAACAGCACTTGAGAGGATCGAAGTAACGCCCACGCAGTATTGATCCCACCCACCTGCAGAGTTCTGCTCGCCTAGTGGCGTAGCAAAGGCGGTGCGCCCCGGGCGGAACTGCATTTGCGGCCCTCGGAGGGGAAAGATTTTTCATGGAAGGGGGGCAGAAGAGGCTTGGGCAGCCCGTGGGTGACACTATTCCTAGCTACGCCACTGGGCCCCCCCCCCCACTAATTAAAAAAAATTAAAAAATAGATGAATACACAACTTTTGTACCAACCAACAAAGTAGAAAGTAGAAAGATAGTATTCATATATAGATATTTAAATATGAACAACTAGACTTATCACAGTTTTAGTTTTTTTTTTCCATGTGACATGAATAGGCTCAGCTAATTCAATAAAATTACATTTTCCGGACAATAATTTAAATGCTCTCCACACTTTTTACCGACAAAATTTTAAAATAAACTTGTCTAAACTATGAATATCCAAAAATTAAAAAAACAACAAATATTCAAATATCCGTACTGTGAAATAGATCTACGCCTCTTTGCACTATGGTGAATGTTATACGCAGAGTCATCGCGTGACATATTGAGGGCCATTTGCCACTTTTAGATCTTTTAAGATCTCAGATTTGCGTTCAAAGCCAATAGTTAAAATTTTACTCCACATTATAACTTTGTGCCCCTTAAATATCCAGGACCCACGCGACGGCTTCGATTATAAGAAATACTAAAATGTGCCTAAAGTTCAATGTCATTCAACCGTGACCAATGAACAAATTTTACTGGAGTCAGTTTATTGTAGGACATTATCAGCTTCCCCCCCCCCCCCAATTTTTCCTCATTATGATCAGACAAGTTGAAAGCAAGTCTTTAGTAAGTAAGAAGAAATCACAAATGCTCAGTAAGAAATACTAAAATGTGCCTAAAGTTCAATTTTCTTCAACCGTGACCAATGAACAAATTTTAATGGAGTCAGTTTTTTTTAGGACATTATCAGCTTCCCCCCCCCCCAATTTTTCCTCATTATGATCAGACAAGTTGAAAGCAAGTCTTTAGTAAGTAAGAAGAAATCACAAATGCTCAGCTTTCGGGTTTTGTTTCGCCTCAAAATATTTGTCATACAATGTCTCTATTTTATCTTTTGTACGGACATCTGAAAATTCTTACGGTCAAATTTTTACGGACTTTCGGTAAATTTACGAAAGGCTGGCACTCCTGGTCCTGACCAGCACATGTTTCTTCAGAAAACTTTAACCTATCGGAATAATTTTTCAACAGCCTTGACCTTGACGCTTGTCAGTGCCTCTGCCCTTGCTGTCGTCGTCCTATGTATAGCTGCCCTGTTCTGGTTTCGTCATCGTCAGCGCCGAAACAAGCTCCTGCACGACCTGACTTTCGATGATGGATCGGAGGAGTCAAAGAGTACGAAGTCGGCGCCTTCTTCCAGGTACGAGGTCTATGTTGTTGTTTGCGATTACCAGGGGTTCTGGTGGCTTTGTCGACATTAACAAGGTAGACAAGAGATACTGAGAAGTATAAAGACAAGAGATACTGAGAAGTATAAAGACAAGAGATACTGAGAAGTATAAAGACAAGAGATACTGAGAAGTATAAAGACAAGAGATACTGAGAAGTATAAAGACAAGAGATACTGAGAAGTATAAAGACAAGAGATACTGAGAAGTATAAAGACAAGAGATACTGAGAAGTATAAAGACAAGAGATACTGAGAAGTATAAAGACAAGAGATACTGAGAAGTATAAAACTCTTTAAAAAATGATGTAGCTTCTTCCTCGTTTGTTTATTTTTATTAATTTCATAGGCCGAAAATGGCTTTTAAGTTGTTTTTTTCGGAAAAGAAGGCCAATGAATTAAAAGTTGAAAGCAATAACAACGATTTACTCATGTATATATTAGTGTATATATTATAACAACTTTGATATAGGCATAGAGCAGGGGTTCTTAACCAGGGGTGCTCTCATCCACCCTGGGGGCTGCGGAAGCAGTGTCATGGGGTGCGTGAAGAACCAGAAAAATCGGTTTGAGTTGCATTTTTATAAACATTTTATATCGCTCCACATATATGTTTTATGCTATGTACAACAAAAAAACAAAAAACAAAAGAACCAACGCCCTAGAGAGGAGATTAAACATTTTTAAAATGCTTCCAGTAAAAAGCCTAATAAAGGGATTGTACTCAAGCAGCCATATCATTTCTTGATTGATGTGCTCGAGAAACAATTTGCTGGTCTACGTATAATATATCTATTCAGATGTCCCGAGAACTCGGGTTAAGAAATACTTTTTGAGACTAAGAAAAAAAAATAACTTGATGTTACCTTTGCAAATTTATATCACCTCTCGGCTACATTAACTCAACATTTTCAGAACCCCGTCCCCAAAGATGAGTAAAAGAATGTCCTGTCCCGATGCCTTAAATCTGAAAACGATCGGTGCTAAAGGCATGCTGGCCCGATCGCTGACCTCTGACCGTATACCAGACTTCACGCTGCCACCGGAGCGTGTCCAGCCCTGGAGTCCTCACGAAAAGAAAGCCTCCAATTTCACCTTCACTTCTCACCAGCGGAGTAACACGTTAGGGAGCATCAAACCAGATCTCTACCAGTAAGTTCTTTGAAACATTTAAATATTTGATGTTATGGAGAGTGGTTCGCAATGTTATATGGGACCATGGGTTCTGTTCTTTAAAAAAACGTTCCTACTGATTAATTGTAAAATGTAAATACGTGAAAAAGTCCACATGAAGTATTGAAGAGCAAAAGAAATAAACATTAAAAAAGCTCTTGACAGTTTGAAATTAAATTATTTAATGAGATTTACATTTACTTCGTGTCGTATTGAACATATTGCTATTAAATATGCTGTTCCTGATTTGTTGAAACGTATAAACATGATTTTAGATGTTATCTTCTCTTAATTAAACGCGAACTTACTTCATTTAGTGTAAAATTATCTTTGAAGTGTCTACGGTTAAGTTAGCTACCCAAAGCTGAAATAGTATGACTTAAAATCTGCAAATTTAATTCAGGATTTTTCAGTTACATGATTTATTTGTGACACCACCATTAACTGCAGAGGGCAATATTATTTTTAGCTACTGCATATATCAGAGGGCGAGTCCTGTGGGTGTGTATGGGGATGGAGTTCCTGCAATTTTGTTGTTGTTTATAAATAAATACATATTTATTTTGGGGTAAAGATGGGGAGGTGGTGGTGATGAGCAATGTTTCCTTTAAGGTTTGTTGGTTCGTGTGAAAAATCGTACAGTTGTAAGCAAAGTTTTTCAGCATCAATTTTTTTGTGTGCAAAATTTTTCAGCTCACAAACACAAAAACACATTTACATGGAAATTTACTGCGCGGTACTCAGAACTGCTGCGCGGCGTCTGTGAGATAGCTGCGCGGGAACATTGGTGATCAGGGGATCTTGGGTTAATTCCCTCACTTTTTGCTCAGGACTCAACCCTTGATCTATATTCATATTTCATTTGCTCTCTTTTAAAATCTTTTAAATTAACTTCGCTTTTTTTCGCGTGTTTGTGGCAACATCTTCGGAACGCTAAAAGACTCACTTACCTTTCATACTATCGATCTGAAATTCGGCACATAGACTAACTGCCAGTAGCAACACATTCTTTCACATTTTCAGCCCCACTCTTTTGTCCCAATCCTCCAAAATCAGTTTATCCTGTTTTTCAAAAGAAGCTAATTGACCCACATCCCGTCATCCTAATGTACAGAAACTTAGCACATAGACTCGTTGCCGAGGAAAGCAAATTTCCCATTTTCAGCCCCGCGCTCAAACGACATTAACATTAATATCTGCTGAAGCGTAACTGAGCAGGACGCTATAGATATAAATCTTATTTGCAATCAATGCCATGAACTGAATTTTTCGTGCAGCTCGATGAAAATAATATCTATTATTTGTGCTTTTGTATTCAAAATTTAAGAGTTCAGTTTTTGAATGTCTGACATATTTTCACGGCCTACAGTCATCTGAGTTTCTCCGAGGATGATGAACCGAACCTCCCTGAAACATCACACGGTCGTCTTTGGTTCTCTATGACTTATGATGCAGGAGCTGAACAGCTAAATGTCACGTTAATCAAGGTTAAAGATTTGCCAGGCAAGTCCATTTACCTTGTGATTTTATGATTTTACTAATTTTATGGTGATGTCAAATTAAATTTTACTAAACTGTAACAGACCAAGTTAACTATGATTTTTTCAGACGACCCTAATATTCACTCTCAGACACGATGGCGTAGTGATTTTATGAGAACGATGTAAATCACGAGAAAAGCGAGAATTAGTTTTTGCGATCGTGTCGTGAGATTGAATATTAGGGTCGTCTGAAAAAATCATAGTTAACTTGGTCTGCTACATAAACCTTGTCGTCATTGCAAATCATACTAGTGGTAGTCTTTGAACGCTACTTAAGATTTTATAATTAACTGCTTGAAGCATATTAACGCTTTAATTACTTAATTAATCTTTAATTCTTTGACTGCCTAATTAATTATTAGCCACACTATTTTATCTCTGGAAACATACTAACGATTTCCCCTTGAAAATTTTAAGCAATTAAGTATTTTTTTAGTATCAAATTATCTAATTTATGTTCAAATCTTTAAAGGTCGAAATGGCAGTAGCCAGCCGAGAGATCCGTTCGTCAAGATCTTCCTGCTGCCAGATGAGAGAACCTGTCGCACATCAAAAGTTAAAAAGAAAACACTGAGTCCTTTATTCAATGAGACGCATTCATTTCAGGTACATGTGTGTTCTGCTTTATTCAATGAGACGCATTCATTTCAGGTACATGTGTGTTCTGCTTTATTTAATGAGACGCATTCATTTCAGGTACATGTGTGTTCTGCTTTATTCAATGAGACGCATTCATTTCAGGTACATGTGTGTTCTGCTTTATTCAATGAGACGCATTCATTTCAGGTACATGTGTGTTCTGCTTTATTCAATGAGACGCATTCATTTCAGGTACATGTGTGTTCTGCTTTATTCAATGAGACGCATTCATTTCAGGTACATGTGTGTTCTGCTTTATTCAATGAGACGCATTCATTTCAGGTACATATGTGTTCTGCTTTATTCAATGAGACGCATTCATTTCAGGTACATGTGTGTTCTGCTTTATTCAATGAGACGCATTCATTTCAGGTACATGTGTGTTCTGCTTTATTCAATGAGACGCATTCATTTCAGGTACATGTGTGTTCTGCTTTATTCAATGAGACGCATTCATTTCAGGTACATGTGTGTTCTGCTTTATTCAATGAGACGCATTCATTTCAGGTACATGTGTGTTCTGCTTTATTCAATGAGACGCATTCATTTCAGGTACATATGTGTTCTGCTTTATTCAATGAGACGCATTCATTTCAGGTACATATGTGTTCTGCTTTATTCAATGAGACGCATTCATTTCAGGTACATGTGTGTTCTGCTTTATTCAATGAGACGCATTCATTTCAGGTACATGTGTGTTCTGCTTTATTCAATGAGACGCATTCATTTCAGGTACATGTGTGTTCTGCTTTATTCAATGAGACGCATTCATTTCAGGTACATGTGTGTTCTGACTGCATTTTAATCGGAATTCTAAGGATTGACTTCAATCACATCCCTCATTAAATTAATATGATACATTTGCTCATAGCTCTGCTGCCAATCATTAACAATCATTATTGTATATGTCACATAATATAAATATACCAATGATAGAAGAATACTTTGTCACAGAACGGTTGTTACAGAGGAGGGCTCCGGTCCTGACTTATCACAAACTTTATTGATTTAGTAGTGGTCAGTAAAGGGCCGCTCCTTTCTGTGATTCATATTTTGTGTATCTAGGCGTTGGGACAGACAAAAGCACAACGTAGACTTGATGAATTCAAATAACGCAAACTATACGTGCAAGGACGTCATTTGGGGAGGGAAGTGTGGGTCATTTGCCCCCCCCCTCCCCCCGAATGTATAGGTTTTATTTAAATTGCTTTGTACTGTGGCGCCTTCTGTAATAAACAACTCAACAAGTCGACCAAGTTTTGGTTTTGCCCACGCCCCTTGAAAAAACCTGAAATGACGCCCTTGATTGGGTATGCAGATGGTGAAATAGCATGCGTTTATTTCTAAGATAAAAAGCTCTTTCTAGGGTACCGCTAACCTTCAACTGTCTCTACAGGGCGGCCCAGGAAAAGTGATAACAATCTCTTACAATGTAATATAATATAATTACATCAACATTTGTCAACTGTATACATTTACTGGTTACGTATGTCCCTATATAACTAAATGCCATCATGATCATGACAATTTCCGGTGGTCAAAATGAAAAAAAAAAACACATTATATTAATTCACTTACATTAAATAACCCTTTGCCATGAAAGGTTCTCACTTTTTTGGGGCCACCTTGTATGTATCTCCATAGCTATGACTGTATGTATCTCCATAGCTATGACTGTATGTATCTCCATAGCTATGACTGTATGTATCTCCATAGCTATGACTGTATGTATCTCCATTGCTATGACTGTATGTATCTCCATTGCTATGACTGTATGTATCTCCATTGCTATGACTGTATGTATCTCCATAGCTATGACTGAATGTATCTCCATAGCTATGACTGTATGTATCTCCATAGCTATGACTGTATGTATCTCCATAGCTATGACTGTATGTATCTCCATAGCTATGACTGTATGTATCTCCATAGCTATGACTGTTTCTAAACTGTTCATACTGTATCGTCTCATCTATTCCTATGTTCAGCTGTCGTCTCCTGATATCTTTCAACTATTCCCGAACAACTGCCTCTCTCAGATCGTTTCTCTCTTCACTCCCCGTGTCATGAAGAGTTCTGTCTTTCATGCAATTCTTAACCTCCGTTGGTGGCCCAGGAATGCTATCTATTAACCCATCCCTGCCCCTCAACTTTCGGTCCAGTAGAATTTTCCGTCGTTAACCCCAAAATTATCCTGCGAAGTCTGGAAGGCCCGAAACATAATAGTATGTAAAGAGACAATCCCCTTTATCTCAAGATGTGAGAATATATTAACCTTAATTAACCTCACCCCCTTATAAATTCCCTCCCCAAAATTTCCCTCCACCCTATAAGTGACCTAAACAACTAAGGAGCTCTGCCCTGTACCCTCGCCCCAGTCATTTGTGAAATACTTGCAGTAGAACATGCACACTTGATAGGTTAGCTTATGCTTGCCTCTTGTAAACATCTAAAGATAGTGGTTTGATTTGTTTAAATGGCAAATATTATACTCATCATGATTTTTGTAAATGTTGTAAAAATAACTGCACACGGAATGCATCTGATAACAACACAAACAACAATCATGTGATCTAGGTCTCTCTGGATGACGCCAAGAAACGGGTCTTGCGCTTTTCCGTCTATGACGTCGATCGCAGACGTGTGCGTCACTCACTTGGGCACGTTATGATTAATCTGAAGGGCCTGGACCTAACCAAGGGCGATGTCATGTGGAGTGATCTAGAGCCCATGGTACAGGTGGGTCTAATGGATCACTTTACTTCCCACGGCTATTCATTTTTTTGTATGTATCTGTTACCACCTTGTTTCACTTTGAGATTTCGATCCCTTTTACTTAAAATAAGTCTTAGATATTTCTTAAAACCATAAAAATAACCCTTTTTTATAATTTCTCTTTTAACTTAATATTGGAGATGCATATTTTTAATTTGGTTATGTTTGGTAATTACATCCAAAATACGGATACCTATGTTTCGGTGGAAAAATGCAAATTTTTAGGTAGCTTAATCTAAGGAGGCCTGCAACCAACCAAAATTAGTTTGATTCTTGCTTTATAAATTATAGAATTTCCCAGGTAGAAAATAGTTCTCTAATATTTCACGTTAAATAATTTCTTTTTTAAAAATGTATTTTTAAATCCTTTATATTAACTTCGCTTTTGTTCGTGTGTTTCTGGCGGGGAAAAAAAATCTTCGGCTGACTAATTGACCCACTTCCAATCAACCTTTCGAGCTGAATGTTGACAATAAATTCTTTCAAATTTTCACCCCCAACCCCCCAAAAATCAGTTTTTTTCTCCTGTTTTTCAAAAGGAAGATGAAGATGAAGGAAATATGATGCCACCGATTTAACGAAATAAAATTCCCGATAACTGCGCTAAATGAGATTCTTCGAAAAAAAAATATTGCAAGTACGCTTGATGCATAATATTTTATTTTGTTTTTCTAAAATATTTGGTGTAATCAATCTGTAAAATCGTGTGGGTCATTAGAATATTAATATAGTTCAGGGGCATGAATAAAATGTGCGGTTGTGAGCCATTGGGAGGTGGGGGGAGCACTTATAACGTGCGTTACTTGTATGAGTATTTTGTCAGATTTTCAGCCCCACCCTCATTGCCCGATATTACATTTTATGAAGGATTCATCGAAAAACTTTTGTTGTTGGGAGATATTTAATTGTTTTAATTCTGTTAAGGCTACATCATCACTTGGTGAGCTTCAGTTCAGTCTTGTCTACATCCCTACAAGTGAGAGGATCAAGATTGGCATCCACCAAGCAAGGAATCTCAACTTCAAGGAGGACTACCCTGATATGGGTGGGTAATGCTGTGCATTGTCTAAATGTTCTGTCTATAGTTTTTTTTTTTACTTAGCAACCAAAGCTGAAGTAGAATTTATTAATTTTATAGTTGTGACCCACATGAACTTTTACTTGCCATTTTTCAGGGGCCTACGTGAAAGTTCAGTTGTATTATGGTCATAAGTGTCACCGAGTGAAGCGAACCATAACTCAACAGGGCAGTCCAGACATGATGTTCAATGAGTCGCTGTCATTCACTGTCAATGGGAAACAAATGGATTCTTGTAATATGGTGGTGGCGATCATGCTTACCTCCCCCCGTGCATACGGCAGTAATGACGTTGAGTACGGCAGAGTTGCTATTGGGGCTTTTATGTATTCGAGAGGTGAAGAGCTCGTTCATTGGCAAGAGATGGTGTCACAGCCAAAAGTTGTCAGTACCCGATGGCATACACTAAGTGCCATGCCACAACCGACCTGATCTACAAGATCCCTTGACCTGAGCCCGCCCCCTCCTCATAAATAGATCACAAGGTGATGTTTAACCGGAAAAAAATCGTTACTGAATATACTTTTTACTCAAGGCCATAAATTAATTAATTTATTCAGATTAGGCCTAAGTTGTGAGGAAAAAAAACAATGATTTTTTTTCTCAAATGTCTTTCATTTTCTATTTTCACACAAGGGAAAGGGTTTTAATTATTTTTTCAAAAAATTTGAAAAATAGCTTCTGATCTTAATCTTATATGAACTTAAATATTGTTTGGTTAAGAGTATGAATTAGCATCAAGTAATGATTTAATGAATTTTTACAAGTTAACTTGCTTAGTAAACTAACAGAAATCAATTCATCACATTTTTGTTTCCTTCTATGCCCTTTTAAAAAATGTAAAAAAAAATTAAACATTGTAAGGATTAATTGATGGTAAATAAATTTACATAGTCATATGCTGAAATCAGTGCACAGCTCTTTGTGTACACCAGGTCTGTTATTCTAATGTTACATTTGTTCATGTTAAGGTCATAAAGCTGGCTAAATCTTTTCTGTGAATAATTCATAAAATCTGGAATTCTCCCAGAGAATATTAAGCTCTTAGTGGAATTGTTTTTAATAGTGTATCAATTTTCTATTGCATTGTGCTCAATGTCTAGTTCCACTAATGAGTACACAATGATAGTTTTAACAATAATTTATTTTTTCAGGGGGTGATAAATAGCTAAAGCAATATGTTGCTCATGATTTTCTTTAAAAGGTGTATAACATTATATAGGAAACTCCATTTCTAAAATTATTTACTTCTGAGTTATTTTGATTATGAGAGAGTTATTTTTAATAATAAGGGTCAAAGCTACTTAAATAATTATAATGACATCAGAATTTTTTTTCTTAAGTGTTACTTAAACAGCACAATCAGTCATGTTTTAAATTTGGTCTTAGCCTGCTGAGATAAATAATAATAATCATCATTATATTGTTTCTCATGTTCATCATCATGTAAGCTAGTAATGATTGTATAAGCCTACACAATGTCTTACTTTAGGAATTCTGATTTAATTCAAAGAAAATGTGTAGTTAAATTTTCAGACTCACTTATAATAGCTTGCATAAGGAGAAATTTAAAAATTGTGAACATGGACAAATAGTGAAAGAACAATTACTCTAACTTTGAAATATGCCTGCATGAACTATTGCTACTTACAAATATTAAGTGTACAATTTCCATCACAGCATTGATTTAGGTTTGATAACCATTGATATATGTCCAACTTATTAGCCCTTTTTATGATGTCAACATGAGGCTTTTGCCAGCTTTTATAAACCAGTAAATGCAGTGTCTTAATTTTATTTTACAACTCTAAAGATATTGTGCATTTATGTTGGTGTGTCAGTATTTCCATAAATAGATTAATGTAAATTTTAGGTCTGCAATGTGCAAAATAAAAAAAAATGTATTAATCCTAACAGCACTGCTGTCATCTTATGTTGTAAGAATGATAAAAGAAATTCTAATTTTGAGTTATTATGTAGCATGTGTTAATAAATTTAAAAAATGCAGTGCTTTACAATGCAAAACAATAGTTCTTTCGCAAGGAAGTAAAGACTTTAGTAAATAAATTTAATAAATTAAAAATAGGAAGGAAAAAAAAAGCTTGGGGGGGTTTGGTTCTAAGTCTACACTTTAAGAACTTTTCCAACTATTCATAAATGAACATTTTTATTTAAGAACAAATTTCTTAAGGACATTCTATATATATTAAAAATAAAGAAAGAAATATTAAATAAATGTTGGACTTAAAATTTAATTCATCATTCTTTTTTAAATTGAACAGGAAATATTTAACCTAGAGTACAAACAAAGCCATTCATTAATTTTTTCTACTTACTGGGCTGAAATTCATTGACATACATATCCTATAAAGGATTTTATAACAAGATACTTAAAAAAAAGTATTGGTTCTAAAAATAAAAGACAATGAATGGACAAAACTACTTAATAAGCTAATGATTCTGTTTCATTGGTGAAATGTAACTTTTTGTGCCATTTTTTAAAATTCCTAAGTTCATTGAAATTTTATTTAAGCATTAAATGAGATTAGCAATTTAAAATGTTATGGCTCTTCTTGCTCTAAAAAAATGTATTTCTTATGTAAGATCACTAAACAGCTCTCAGATGTTTTATTTTAGAATTGCTATTTTTTTAGATGTTGCTAATCATTTGGACCTTCCATTGCATGTACCATTTTAAAATAGATGGAAATTTTGTCTTTTATACTTATAATACTAAGGTATACCAGGAAAAGAGCACAAAATTTAGGGAGACCAACTAAGTATCGTACATTAATGGTTTTTTATTACTTATTATGATGTAGTACGTACTTGTAAAATAACAGCGATTCCTTTTGGTTTTGTGGTTGTAAATCTGGTTGTGACCCTGGTTAGCTAAAGTTATCCTGTTGGTCTTTTTTGTGCCTTTTTGGACTTGTTAAAAAAATCTCAGCATTCGTAAGCCATTTTTGTTGTTGTTGGCTTGAAACGTGGTTTTGTTAATGAAAAGAAAGCTAATAAATTTTTTAAAAGTGAAATATTTGTTTGTTTTTTCTTTTAGAGATTTAACTTATTGAACTTATTTTACTGGTATGCAAAATCTGGCTATGAAGAAACTTGCCAAAGTTTGACTTCCAATTAAATTTCTAGGATTAAAAAAGATAAACCAACATTAATTAAATTAGTCAAATATAAATTGAAAGCCAGTTGTATTAACAATTTTATTATGTGCTTTTTAACCTAAAAACTCATTGTCAATGTTTTAATATGATGTGTGATCAATCATAAGAAACTTATAAACAAAATTTGAGATGGAGATATAAATTCATCTCATCCAACATGTACACTAAATATGGATGTAATTAGCATATAAGCACACTGGTGTCAAAGGCACAGATTCTGGGACCAAGATTATTTAACCTGTATATATAACTTTTACTTAAAGATATATAAAAGAATATAAAACTGTAAATTAATCTAAAACATAAAAGCAAAAGACAATGTTAAAATCTGTAATGTTTTGATAGTGGAAAAAGTGAAAGAAATAACATTTAAAAATGTACATTAATAAAAATCTAAAACATACAATCTTACATTTTTTTAAATACTACTTTTTGCAAAATCAGTTTATGTAAAATTATTTTTAAACAGTATTGCAAATAATATCTATATTTCTAATATAAGGCCATTAAAATAATGACAAAGATTCAAATGATTTTAACAACTTTCATTATCGATCAATGTTTTGTTTTAAACACCGGTATCTTAATTGTATATTGATCTTAAATTCTCATTCAAATAATTATCAACAACACAAATTTTTTGCTAACTAAGATTACAAATAATTTGAAAAAAATCTTGAAATTGTCAAAAGGGTGTTATGTAAGGGTATCAATAAAATCCTTTAAATGTAGCCTAATTATTGACAAAGTCCTAGATTTAATTTTTTTTTTTTGCTAAACAGAAATAGGGCCTACATCAGCTTTAATCAAGTGGACAATTTTAAAAAAAAACCAGAAAGCATTTTATGTGAGTCCAATCACAATGACAATAAAAAAATGAATGCTTCATTTACAATAAAATCAACATCCTATTTTAAACAAATTTACATTGGGTCATTAGTAAGAACCAATATTCATGTTGGATCCATTCATATGTACGCATGCACATATTTCTCTATATATAAAATAATAATTTTATGAAATTTGTCATGGAAATATGAAACACATTCAATAATGCACAATGGGGACCACCAAGCATTAAATATATATATATACACCATATAGTATTAAGGAAGATACTCTTCTTTAAAAAAGAAAGTGAAAACATATATTTCCACAAGTTTTTTTTTGTTCTAACTTTATTCCAACTTTCATTGAAACAAAAATAGTCCCAGGCCTAAAACTTTTTTCAGTAGTAGTTGATTATGTCATTGATATACAGACGTGTATATTACTCTCATTTCCAAATACTCATAAAATCTGAAACATGAGATTTACCTTCTCATAAATGAAAAAACCAAAGGGGTCTTAATTTCATATTTTTTATATACATAGTATTGATTCTCTCTTTATATATATTTATAGTATTTATGTTAGGTTCAAATAAATTAGGTATTTATAAAATTACTGTACTTTGTTTTACAAAATGGCCACGTTATCACATTAAAAGTGGGTACTTTCCTCAATAATATCATCATTGTCACTGTTTTCTTGTTTAATTGTAGTAATAGTAGGATCTTCAGAGAAAAATTGTTTCACTAAATCTGAACTTGGACTTTGGAGCTCCTTGGGACTACTCATATTTAGTTTGATGGGGAAACTGTAGATAGAATTATCATTATCAGAAACAGAGTCTCTTTTAGCTAAAGAATATCCATTACCGGTCCTAGAAGGATGAGTTGGTGGGCTTTGGTAAAAACTGCTTATTCGTAAACCCGGCTGGTCAAGTCCTGAAAGAGAACTCATTTGGACTTCTGAGTTTGAGCTGGAACTGGAAGAGTTGCTGCCCCTTTTTCTTAGAAGTTTGATATCACCAAGAAATGGTAACACATTGCTATTTACATAGCCAGTATTATCAGTAACAGTTTTAGTGTTTTTGGACGTCTGCTGATTTGATTCCTTCCCATCTGCTTCTCCCTTTTCACTGCTAAAGGAGGTACGCTCCTCTTTTATCAGTCCCTGCTCACTGGAAAAAACTGAAGAATCATCTGAAGAATCAGCGGTCTCATCTTCTTCATATATAATGCCAGTATCTCTTCGACCATTAAGCAATGGCCCAGGGGACTCTGCGTTATGATTAGTTTGAGAATTCCCTAGAGGCTCATCTGTGTTTGATTCATTAGTCAACATGTGATAAGGTTCCTCTGTGTCTTCTCCTACAGCTGCTTGGAACAGTTGCTGCATCTTTTGCATGCCTACGTCAACTAGATGTCTCCGCAGAGCTAGCGTGCTGATGTCATTTTTGAACTCGGTTTCAAATACAAATGTTCTTTCCTGCTCTTCTGTGAAGTCTTGCACTTCTTTCCTGTAACAAAGATTAACATATGAAAAGAATATGTATTATTTTCCATAATCAAACTATTCTTAAATCATTCTCTGCTTTGGATATGCTTTGAAGAAGTTAATGAATCTATGAGTCAATATATTATGTAAATAGTTTAACCCAGAAGGAAGGATTCAATAAAATATCAATTACTTACATCATCATAATCTTCTTTAAGTAAGCATAGAGAAAGAAACATGTTATCAATAGTGTATGGGTCATCCAAAGTAATGATCAGAAAAGAAATATTCTCACAAATGCAAAATGAACTCAGTCCAAGATTCGGACACATACATTAAAAATTAATGACCAAAAAAAACAAAAACAAAAAAAAACACCTCATTTTCACTTTAAAAAGTGCTTTTGCTTTATGCTTTACTTCTAAACTTCAAGAGAAAGTTCAACAAGAAAAGGTATTTTTAAAGAAATGTAGATTCAGAGAGACTATATATTATCTATTGGATTGATTAGCATCATTCTACTTATTTAAATGATACAGAAATTATAACTACATGTGAAATAAAAAAATGTCTTTTACGTTTTTACATAAACTATTTGAACTTTGATTTTATTGTTTAAAAACTGAGCTGTTGACTTATAGAAATAGAAGAAATAAATTAAACTAATAAAAACTAATATGATAATATAAAAAGATAACTATTTGAAGACATTTAATGTGAAAGTAATAAATGTGAATAAATTGAATGAATAAAATAAAGCTCTTGATATCAAAATACAAATTACTTACTTCTTTAATTTAAATAAACAGTAGTTATTTTACAAGGAGGCCTATTCTCTTTTAGTAGTATGTCATTAAAAAAAAAAGGGTTTAGGTAGGCTATAAACAAAACCAACAACACCCAACTTGTTCTCAGCTAATGATTACTTATTACTATTGTATTTTTTGTTACTGATAGATAAGTAGATCTAAATTCGACTGAATTATTAGTAATCTAAAATATATTTTTAAAAAATCATATATCTAACATCAACAAAAATATTACTAATCTGACATCAACAAAAAATATTACTTCACTGACATCTAAATTGAATTAAAGATCTCTGGTGTTAATAGGAAACAACAAAATCTGACTCATTAGTATTCACAACATCAATACTGTAAATCTTACTCATTTAACATGTTGTAAGAGCTTATGAGGATTAAAAAGCTGTGAATCATCCAAGTCGATATCCCTACACCAGTAAATTATAAAATGAGAGAAAATAGAACATGATTTTAGTTTCCAACGCCATTTCTATAACTTGACTGAGCATTTGTTTAATCTTAAGTATTCATTAGTCAAAATCTGAATTCAAACCAGGAGCCAGTATTATCAGTACATTGATTGTGGGCCCTCAAATATAAGAAGAATTAACTGTATGATTGCAAAATTTCATGACATGACAATAATGTTTTATTTGTGAAATTAAAATTTGTTGTACCATAGGTTGAAAAACCCCTTTTGCATTAGAATGTCATTAATCATATTATATTTCTAGATATCTAGAGATTTGGAATGAGAAGAATCCTTCATCTTATGAAGATTTTGAGATTTGAAAAAAGAAATCTAAGAAATATAAATAAAAAAAAATAATAAAGCTAACTTTTCAAATTTAGGAATACTGGACCCTAAATCTTAAAACACCCCACGCCCCCACACACATACAATTTTTTTTTCACATTTAACCCTGTTTAATATGATCTATGTAATATATTTACTTTGACATGATTCCCAATATTATTACTATGCATCATGCAAGAAAAATATTGATTTCTTAAATGTGAATCTGATAAAATATAACACAAGTGTGATCACAATTAGAATATGATTATTTTTTTACAGAGGTTATGGGGAAAAAGAAATGCTAGATTTTAAAATTCTGAATTGAGATTTAAGTCTGTGGTAAATTTTTGTGAACAATTATAGAAGTAAAATATAAAATAACTAAATTTTCAAGAACTCACATTTCCAGATGTTCATCTGGGTCAGAGCTTAAACTTGTCCCTTTTTTCAGAACTAGTTGCTCCTCCATCCTTTGTCTCACCTTGGCAGCACTTTCCTCCTTCTGAGCATAATGCCTTTGCCTAAATGGAAAATATATAAAATTTAGTGCTCTCAATGGATCTCAGCTACATATCTCATCCTTATCAATGTTGATTATTGTAAATTTAAAATTAAATGGTTATTGAAATGAGACAAGAGTGCAACTGAAGTTTCAGTTAGCAAAAAATTAAGGCGATCTTTATTCAAATTGTTTTAAATGGTAAAAAACAGTACAACAGTACAGTCAGATTAAACTTAAAAAATAAATCCTTTTATCTGATGGTCCAATACATTTTAATAGAGGAATTTTGAGATACACCTACTTCTTCCACAGAAGATAAGCAACAAGAATGGCACCAAGGGAGACCACAAACATTACACAGGCCACAACAAGAAGAGCAATTGCGGCCACCCCAAAGCTATCTTCATTACTGCTACTGACTCGT